TAGTACCGTTGGATAGAGAATTAAATTCTGCATCCCACACACTAGCTTAGAAAGTTAACAAAAGTCGTAGAGCGAATCTGGACAAGAATTACTGTCAAAAGTGGGTGTCAGACCCAGTATTTATGATATAATCCCCCATTTTTGCCCGATAACACCATTTCACAATAGTACCGTTGGATAGAGAATTAAATTCTGCATCCAATACACTAGCTTAGAAAGTTAACACAAGTCGTAGAGCAAATCCGGACAAGAATTATTCTCAGAATTGGGTGTCAGACCCAGTATTTGTGGTATAACCCTACATTTTTGCCCGAAAACTCCCTTTCACAATAGTACCATTGGATAGAGAATTAATTTCTGCATCCAACACACTAGCTTAGAAAGTTAACACAAGTCGTAGAGCGAATCCGGACAAGAATTATTCTCAGAATTGGGTGTCAGACCCAGTATTTATGGGATAACCCCCCATTTTTGCCCGATAACATCATTTCACAATAGTACCATTGGATAGAGAATTAAATTCTGCATCCAACACACTAGCTTAGAAAGTTAACACAAGTCGTAGAGCGAATCTGGACAAGAATTACTGTCAAAAGTGGGTGTCAGACCCAGTATTTATGGTATAGTCTCCCGTTTTTGCCGGATAATACGCGTTCAAATTGGTACCATTGGATAGAGAATTAAATTCTGCATCCAACACACTAGGTTAGAAAGTTAACACAAGTCGTACAGCGAATCCGGACAAGAATTACTCTCAGAATGGGGTGTTAGCCAGTATTTGAGGTATAACCCCGCATTTTTGCCCGATAACACCCTCTGAAAATGGTACCATTGGATGGAGAATTAAATTCTGCATCCAACACACTAGGTTAGAAAGTTATGAGAAGTCATAGAGCGAATCCGGACAAGATATACAAGATATTTGTTATTGATACACAGGAGTAAAGTGAGTATTTCGTGTAAAAGTAGTGGTTTTTGCCCGATGACCCCCCTTGAAAGTGGTACCATTCGATAGAGAATTAAATTCTGCACCTAACACAAATACCTAGAGAGTTAACACAGGTAAGAAAACGAATCGGGACAAGAAATAGTCGAATCTGGTGCTAACTTAACTTACGTGCCACTAACCCTAATTAATGAGGTCTTAATTAGTTATTAACCAACTAATTAATAAAATGTCTGTCACGTCTGTGATAGGCCGTTGCTAAGGACGTCTGTCACGTCTGTGGGGCGAGAGTAGGTCCAAATTTCTACCCTATATACTTCAACACTTCTTTTAGATCGTGTTTCACAAAATATCAGCCAAATCGGTGACATCGATTGAGCAACGTTGGTCGTGGCTTACGTGCAGCACCTCTTACGCACAACTAGCAAGAGAATTTGGTTGGAACAGCTACAAGACTGTTTTTCGTCAATATGAAGAAACAAAACCAAATCTGAATAGTGGTCAAGAGAAAATAGCTCACTGGATCACAATCTTCTCGCGTCAAGTAGGCTTTAATTTGGTTCCACTGTTCAAATTTTGAGGTTTTCTCATTTCACAATCAACGGTTGATGGCCTTGCCAGCCTACCAATTTGTCAAATCTTTGATGAATTAATTCAAGTAGCACCAGAATTTTGATATCATTTGTTCAAGAAACAGTTGAATCTCCTACCCGGATAAACAGCAACACTTGTATTTTGTTTGAATAGCCATATACACAACGAAATCTTTCTATAGCTGTAATAATGCCAATAGACAAATCCTTCAAGATAACTGTCATTGAATATTGATTCGAATTTTTGGCTTTTATTTTCTATACATTAGTGGAATAACTTGCCCTCTTTTCTTTATACTAAAGGAAACAGTGAAAATAGAACCAAAACATATGATCTCAAGTTCAAGTATATTCTGATGAGTTTGATGAATGAGAAGAGAAATTGTAGATAGTTATATGTGATATTCTTTTTTTTTCAGTTTTCTACCATATGCCATGTTTCACAATGTTGAATGAATATCTAGATTTCCATGCCAGTGATCTGTCAATGTGATCTGATAAAAAAAAGCAATGTACTAAATTTTGACAATTGCCATGATCAAAAAAATCTTTTTGGAAGCTCAAATATAGACATAATATTCTGAGTTCTCTGCAAGTTCAGAAGAAACACTGAAAAGCGAAAGATCACTCACAAAATGTTCTCAAAATTTAACATTAACATTTGAAGTGGTTCTAGAACACCTAAAGTTAAGGATTATGTCTCCTTTACATATTGTATCTTATTTCAAGTCGAAAAAACTTTCTTGATCAGTTTTGAAAAGAGAGAGTGTGTGAGTGTGGATGTTGTCAATAGATACAACCACACCCTCACCCTTCAACATTCATAATTCAATAGTTGAAATCAAGGCCTTATGAATACACTATATTGTAGTAAAACTTGTGTAGGCGTATTGTAGATACTTTATATGTATGAGTTGTGATTTTGTATGATGCATCAAGCATAATGATTATTGATTCATCTGAAATGCAAGGTAGAATGATGCATAATCTGCATAATTACCTATTTGAATGGCATTCGCATGTTATGCTCTCTATTCTCATAAATATTTACTTTCAAGTTTTTATGCATTCAAGACGTAAGTGAAGAAACTAGTAATTTTATTAGTTTTGTCGTTCGATGATAAAACATATATAAAAAAGTGGATTAACGCGGTTGAGAATAACGAATTTGAAACTGCGCAAATTCAAAAGTAACCTAATTTTTTCATCAGTGTCCTGGGTTTAAATTTCTATTGTAACTTTTATCATAACAGCAGATACGTATCACATAAAGTATTTTTACTCTCTGATATCTTGTCGACATGGTTTTTGCGCGATGTTGACAGTTTTATTTTGTATTAAAGATCGCTCTAATATTAACGAATCATTGTGAAAAGAAAAGTGACCACGAAATGTCGAGTTCACTTTTCTTGACCAATTAATGCTTTAAATATTACATTCTTTTCAATATAAATACGTTTTGTCGATAAAAGAATTTATCCTATCGTCATTTTTTTAAATTTAGGATTGACCAGTCTGGCTGGAAGACCGAATTTCTTTTTTATCGTCCTGCTTATATAATACACTAGAGAATTCTGATTTTTTTAACCGGTTATAGTACTCAAATAATGCTAATGATCGGTTAAGTCCAACAGGTCTATACCTTGTTTTAAACCAAACTAATTAAAGTCTTCAAAAAATCTTTTGCTAGTTATGAACAGACTTTTTGATAACTTTGATTATTTTGGTTTCAAACAAGGTATAGACCCGTTGGACTTGACCGATCATTAGCATTATATGAGTACTATAACCGGTTAAAAAATCATAATTCTCTAATGTATTATAGAAGTAGAACGATAAAAAAGAAATTGGGTCTTCCGGCCAGACTGGTCAATCCCGTTTATTTAGATGATTTTATCGATGCAACGAGTTATCACCATTTTGTTTATCGATGCCATTGTTAGCACTCATTGTACAGTTGGTTCACCAGAAAATGAGATGTTCGAATCAAAGGCATATACAATAGTTCAATATAGAAGTATTGCGAGTGGCTCCAAAGCTATCATCAAATTTGTAAATGGTGGTGTGGAATCAAATTTTCAACATGGGCTTTGTTGAATTTAGTGACATGTACATATTATGCATTATCTTCATACATACAACGATCTATCCTTTAAAATAAATCGATTTGTTTTTCCTACATCCTGTTGCTTTTGGTGAAGATAAATTGTCTTTGATTGAATACTAGTTTATTTTGTTACATGAGACAAAAAAACCAAGAAAACAAAAAAAAGTACTGGAAGATGTATGTAACTCGTTTTAAAAGAAAATAACATTAGTTAATGTCATAAATATGGAGTTCATATGGAAATAAATTCATCTACACTCTCTACTGTCAATATTCTCGTTCGCTACGAACACTGATACACAGTTTGTTAACTATTCAATCCCAACGTTATTTCTATACTACCAAATTAGCTTTAGTGCGATGTTTGATCCAAAATGAATGATACGATTATATTATTTATCGGCAAAATTTTATCATTGATAGTTAGTTCAACATAGTTTTCGAGTAATGTCAATATTGTAAAGAATCCACTTGTGCTCTTTCGAATGCTTCTATCGATGGAAAATGAATCATTGAATCCAAGTGAATTGAATCGAAATTAACGAATTCATTTCGGTTTTTGCAAGTGATGCACAAATTAGAAGCCAACTTGTCTCGAAAAATCTTCAAGAAATTTCTAACTTGTCAAAACAGTCTTTCTGGAAATTGATAGAATCCTCACCGTCAGCCATCTAACGAGTCCTTTTCTTAAGGGACGAAATCGTGATCATGTTAGCTTTATTCAAACATACACATACTATCGTCCTTTTGACGATTAATTTTTATTAATCACAAACATGCCCTGATTTGCACCACACAGGTTGTATTTTTGACAGTGCTATCCCTCCACCCAGCTTTGGTTTCGCTAATTACATTTCAGTGTGTCTTTTTATTTTTCCAATTGAGAGGTATCTAGCTGGATTATTTTCAAGTAAGCCATTTTTCAATTAGAAAAGATTAAAGTTTCATTCAGGGATTTATCGTTTCATGACCATTAATAAAATACTATACTCTTTCTCAACTTGTTATTGCATTCGCTTTTACTTTCATCATTGTAAAATGACTTTCTTGAAACTAAGCATCATCAATTGTTGGGCCGTTCTTCAAATAGTAATGACTTTGATTTCTGCATATCCATCAGAGCAGGTAAGAAATCTAAATTTAATATAAATATTTATATATTCACTTTGTGATATTTTAGCTGTTACCTGTTCAAGGTTAGTAGACAATCAATTGTAAAACTATTTCAGTTGTTTGTGAAATTTTATAGTAAAAGATGGTGAATATCTAGTTGGAGGCGATATGATTTTCCCTATTAAAGTAGGTTGTTAACAACTAATATTCTTATATGAATCTCTATTGAATACTGTAGAATATGCAGCGTGGTGTTGCACAGAGTACAACCGGAACTCGATGGACAAATGGAATTGTACCTTATGTTATGTCGACTGATTTCAGTAAAAAAAATTCATTTTATTAACTGATGTTGATAAATTTATTTATTTTTCTCGTCGATGTAGCTGGTCAACAACAAGCACTTATAACTGGTGCTATGAGAAATATAGAACGATTAACTACCATCAATAATCGTACATGTGTACAATTTCGCCCAAAGGTTTCCAAAGATCAATATTTAATTTTAATTAAAACAGGCACTGGCTGCTCGTCACATGTATGATACTTTTTTTTTCAGAAAGAGTTCAATTCTATCGTTTCGTTCGCTTAAAAAGCGATAAACGTTTTCGCATCTCATCTCTACACTTCTTTAGGTCGGTCAAAATACAGGATGGCGTGGTCAATTGGAATTGACATTGCAAGTTCCTACGTCATCAACAAGTTCGCATTGTATGCAACAAGGAACTATCATGCACGAACTGTTACATACATTAGGTATGAATTCCTGCTAAGAAAAATATCCATAGACTTGTTTGATAATATTTTTCATTCGAAATGTTATAGTTAACATTAAACTCTTTAATATA